GGGGAACTTAGTCACTTTAGTGATGCCCTGTCTCAGCATTACAAATAGGGGCTGGGATTTGAATCAGTGCAAGGGTCCTGGGTTTAATCCTCCATAACTCTCTCCCCAACAAAAAAAAAAAAAAGAAAAAAGGGAAAGAAGTAGAAAAGAAAAGACGTTTGAAGTTATTCCCAATAACATCGGAACCAAGATGTTAACCTTGGTCTTCATGGCTATAATGGCTTCTTTCTATTCTCTGACCTTAATTCCAAAATAAGGAAACCAAAACATTTAATTAATCATTTAAAACCACATATGAGCATGACCTGTGACTATCTTTCCTAATTTCTTCTCTATGGGATGTTTGCAAAGAACAGTGCAAGCTTTCCAGGGGGAATTCGGGGCCTGGAGGACACACGGACTCCATTTACCCACCAACGCAGCACGCCAGGGTCCGTTTCAGTGGGGGAGAAAGAACAAGGGACAAGAACTCAGAGAGGCAGCTACTCAAAGAACAATGAAACATGGGCTTAGTGTTTTTAAAGTTGTAAAACATGGCATTAGATAGAAAAGAATAAAAAGTTTGCAACACCCTATTTGAGGCCTTGTTAAAAGATAGGGAACATCTCTTGTTTGTCTGTCTATCCCTTCATGCTTACTTTCTCCAATCCAATCTTTATTTGCTTTTCTGGTACTTTCCCTGTTCTAACTTACGGTTTCTGTGAAAATGTCCATATCATTCCACGATGCTTATGCATCCCTCTGTGCCCCATCACAGCCACCAATGACGGAGGGCAGCGGGACCCATCATGGCCTCCTCACAGTCCTTTCTCTGGACTTCTAAACTCGAGAAAGATTAGCCCTCTTTCCCCAGAATGCAGAGTATGAGATGAAAGAATATTAAAAACACTTAATACTCAGATTTCTACTGGGTGGTGAATACTACTTGTAGTGATCAGGAATCAGCCAGCCTGCCTGTCCTTAATCTCTGGTTTTTCTTTTCACTGGAAATGGAGAAAAACATTTCACCTCTCTGTGCCTCGAGGTACAGATAAAATGGTGTGGTCCTGAGGATTCAATCAGTTCACCAAGGGCAAGCGCAGAGCTCTATGATGTGCGCACTCTTGGTACTATACAAATATTTATTAGCAGGAGATGTAGAATCATGCTAATATTCTAGGGGAAGGGTGGGACTCCAGCTAGTGAGATAACCCTTGTGCTGGCATTCTTGTTTCTTGGTTCATTTCTAAGATCTGCTGCAGATCTTAGGGCTTGGACTCTCAACTTGCCTTAGATTCTGTGAGCCGATGAATTCCATTTCTGTCTTCTCCGGCTGAGCTGTTTTTTAAACTTGCCACAACAGCCCAATAACTAACTTTACTGAGCATTGGCATGTTGAGCATAAATGAGTCAGTCATAAAAGTAATTTGATAAAGACTCCTGACCATTAGTTAGAAGTAACGCTCTGACATTTTTGCTTCGGATTTTACTCTTTATAATTATTTTGACATAAAATGTGACAGATTGTCATTGAAGCATCTATTACCCCCCATCAGAACCATTTCCCTTTCTGTCTCCAGGGAAAATGAGTATCTTGGCAGTGTCCTTCCCTCCCACGGTTTTATATATTTACTATGTGAGTGTGTGTCAGTAGGTAACAGGTGATACTAAAATATATTTGTGGAATATCGGGCAGCATTCATTCTTCAGCAACTTGTTTTTGAAAATCAACATAGATGTAAATTCAGCTCTTTCATTTTAGGTGTTCATTTTCATTATTTGAGTGTGATATAATTTGTCTCTTTCCTTCCTGATGAATGCTTAGTTGCTTTATTTACCTATGAATGTATTTATTTTACCCTCACAAATGATCAGCATATTGGTTGATTCCTTCGTGTGTGTGTGTGTGTGTGTGTGTGTGTGTACACTGCTATACAACCCATGCTTTAGAGAAGTGTATACACTGGCCAGCCAGGCCTGGGCATCTTTAATATTACTGAAAATTGCCAAGATCCACATGCAGCAATTGTGTGTGCATGGTCCCTCCAACCCTTGGGATTATCACTTAAAAATGCCAATCTTTTAGATGTAAAGTGATATATTATAGTTGTTTCAGTGATATCTCTTTGGTAAACAGAAAAGTTGAGGAATTTCTCATAGGTTTCTTGATTATTTCTATTTGCTCTCCTAACAACTAAATTCTTGTCACTTTTGCTAATTTTTCCGTTGTGTTATTTGCCTCTTCCTTATTGTAATAGTTAGGGTTCACTAGAAGACTATATCTCATGTAATATCATACAAATGACATATAAAGGTTTAACTAAGCAGACTTAGGACTACGATGATGAAAGCATGGAAGGAAATGCTACGGGGTGGAGGGGAAAAATGAAGAAAAAGTGACATGAATTTAGTTGTTAGAGCAAATAGAAATAACCAAGAAACATATGAGAAGTTCCTCAACTTTTCTATTTACCAAGGAGATATCACTGAAACAACTATAATATCTCACTTTACATCTAAAAGATTGGCATTGTGTCCATGTTGTGCAGCCACACACAGGGGACACATGTCCATATTGCCCAGTCAAGAGCCCAAGTGTGGTCAGTACTTGGGCTGTGAGGTGCTAGGAGGTGCTCAGTACTGAGGGCTGTGAGGCGCTATGAGGTGCTCAGATGATTACAGCCCCCAGCTCCACTGTGCTCATGCCTCTTGGAGCAGAGATGGGAGGTTCCACCAGGAACCTCCTAGACAGCAGGTATATGAGCAAAGCCAAGCCCTGCTGTCTGAAGCCACTTCAACTTGAGGTGTTCCCTAGCACACAGCATATGTTGCCACAGCGTTTCCTCCTAATCCCCCTTCACAGTTGTCTTTGGTGTTTTGGAATCTTTCTCCTTTCATGTAAATTTTAGAACTTGTTTGTCAACTTCCATGGAAAACAGTGTTGGTATTTTCATTGCAATTGTACTAAATTTATTGATTAATTTGGAGGTAAGTGGATTCTTAATGGTATTACTTTTCCCACTTAGAAATGTAGTTTATTTTTCATGTTTAAATTTTTAGATCTCTCAATGATTTTTAATAGTCTCCCCACAAGTCTTACACATTTTAATAATTTCATTCCTTGTTAACAGTAAAGTACTAGAACTTTTTCTATAATATTTTCTTGCCTCCTTCCTTCCCTCCCTCCCTCTTCTTCGTCTCTTCTTCTCCTTCCTTCTTTCCTACCTTCTGTCCTTCCTTCCTTCCTTCCTTCCTTCCTTCCTTCCTTCCTTCCTTGTGTTGAGGATTGAACCCAGGGCCTTCACACTGAGCTATATCCTTAGCCCTTTCAAATAAAATTTCTTTAAACAAAATTTCACGACAAGGCACATTAAGTTGCACAGGCTAGAGTTGAACTTGAGCCCGTCCTGCCTCAGCCTCCCAGAGTCCTGGGATTACACTTGTGTGCTGTCATGCCTGACATTTTTCTATAATATTTTCTAATTGACTTGTGTTGGTTTATAAAATTTTTATCTATTAATTTGTTGTTTTGAACCAATATCTAGGAATTTTGCTAAATTATCTCTTCAGTCTTATTAGATTTGCTTTCCTGTATAAATTTTAGGATAATTATATAATTCATATATAGACACAACTCCATTAATTTCTAATCTTTAACTCTTATTTCCATTTCCTGGTCTACTTTATGAACTAAGCCCTGTGGGACAAGGAATACTACTGAATATAGGGGAAAACTTGACCTTTTTTTAGCTTTCAAAACAATGTTCCTAATATTTCACAACAAACCATGAATCTTAGAGTAGATTTTTATGAATTGCTTTATATCAGGTTAAAAATTTTCCTTCTCATGCTGAGATGTTAGATCCTGGTAGTGTTTGTCTAGCATAACCCAGTTCTTGGGTTAGAGACCTAGAACCATTACATTATTTTCCTTCTCTTTCTAGTCCCCTAAAATTTCCTTCCATGAAACAATTAAAAATTTTGTAAAATGTTTTAAGTGTGCCTTTTGAAATGATTGTTTAATACTATTGAACCATCCTTGCATTTCTGTGATAAAAATCTGCTTGATCACAGTGCTGTTTTCTGCTACATATAGCCATGAATACAGCACAGTAATTCCCTTTACATTACAATATCAGAGTTAGCTGAAATACTGACAACAGTTGGAAACCAATCACCAATGACTTGCTTACTCTTTTTGATTCTCCACTGTATTCTAAATCTCGTACCAGGTACCAGGTCAACTTGCGTCTCTTTCTGGGATGTTAATGTTGATCAGTGTATCAGATGATTCAGATGTGGTTGGGTCATTCTCTCCTGTGTAAAGTTTCCCAACAGCCTTCCACATTGGTAACCTTTGCTCTAGTTCATCCTTTTACTACAGAGTTCAAAGCGGGGGATATTCTAAATCTATTATTTTCTTCTTCATTTAAAAAAGATTAGAGTCCTTATGAAAGAACTTTTCTTCTCATCTCTCTCCTCCTCTTTCTTCTTATTCATTTAAAATTGCTCTGAGGTAGAATTCATTTAGTAGTTTGGGATTTTCCCTCCTCTATTTTCTGGTTTTTAAAATGAGTTAGTTTCACTGGATCCTGTAGAGGTTGCCAATATTTTAAAAATATCAGTTTAAAGCCGTAGGTTTTAACGGGATTGCTGTCTGTGTTTCCATCAGCTACAGAGAGTCAGACTGCCTTGCCTTTGCGTGATGGAAGTCACTGCAGGAGGACTCCCGAGTCCCTCTGACGTCACCCCAGGAGCCTTGGTAACTTTCACTTCCTGCTTATCCCAAGGTCAACTGGTGCATTTCCTTGCTAGATCTGAGCCCAGTCATTTCTGCAAGAAGCAGGTGCTTCCTGTAAGTGGGAAGTGGTGATGGCACGGGGAGGGCTCTTTTTATTTTCTTTTTTTTTGTGTCTTTTTGAGATGATCTCACTGTGCAGTTCAGGCTGGCTTTGAGCTCAATTTGTAGCCCAGGCTGGTCTTGAACTTGCAACGATCCTCCTGCCTCAGCCTCCTGAGTGCTGGGATTACAGGCGTGCACCCCCATGCTGGCGAGAGCTCTTTTTATTGGGCTGTCCTCCACACAGGTCATTTTATAAGTGCCTTTAGGAGAAACATATTTTTAAGAAAAAAGTACTTTGTAAGGTGATGCTGACAATATAAATTATTTAAAACATCCATATTTGTGGTCCATTTTGACCCTCGGGCTTATGCATTTGAAGCTCATCATCAGACTTTTTTGTTCGTTTGTTTGTTTGCTTTTGGTACCAGGGGAATCAAACTCAGGACCTTGGGCTTTCCAGGCAGGCGCTGTTCCACTGAGCTATATCCCCGGCCCATCTTCATCAAATTATTGTGTTTTAGTTACCTGAAATAATTTCATCTCAATAACGTCCTATTTTACAGTAACATTCATCGTTTTGTTTAGTTTTCAATGTTAAAGTTCTTTTTCTTATTCTGATTTAAATTGTAAATACAATTCGATTAGACATTTGCATGGTTTCAAAGACATGAAAAACAAAGGACAGTCAGAGAAATCTGGGTTTCCACCCCGATCCCAAATGTGTCTGTTTTTATAATTTTTGACACACGCATGTGATACACATCTGCTTCTTAAGTCAAAGAATACTTGTCATGTATACTTGACATGCTTTTCTTCTGTTTGTACTTTTAAAATTAACTATATTGTCTGTGGTCACTGAGTACATAGAAGTGTGTTCCTTTTCATAGCTGCATATTAGTGCATGTTATTTCACCTGGAATGGGCACTCTAGTTTAACCAACTAACTGTACTGGTGGCTTTTTGCACCCTTCCTAGGTTTTTACTCCGAAAAATGGAGCTTCAATGACTAGTTTTTTGTATCATGTCTCCTTTTTTTTTCTTTTTGTCAGTGTGTCTTTGGCATTTCCAAGTGAAAGGATAAACGGGTATATAATTTTCCTGGATATTGTAAAACTTCTCGCCGGAGAAGATGTAGCATCCACAAGTTCTCCTCGCGAGTACTAACGGCCCTGCTCTGGCTCCACCAGTGTGGAATGCGTGCACTCACACTGCCAGAGTCCCTGCAAGTCTTTTCTGCTTCTGGTGTCCCCTACTTCCTGCCCATCCCCAGGTCTGGGCAAGGACATTTCCCATGGGCATTTTGCATATTCGTTAGGCACGTGGTGGCTGCCTGTGTGTTTTCCTGTGAGGCCATTTCTGACAGCCTCAGTGTCCCCTCATCTAAGATTCCCCTTCAGATCTTAGACATTGCTCCTGAGACTGTCCCATTGCCCACTTTTTGCCTTTGGTTGCTGTAAAGGACATTTATACCACAAACACAGTTCAGGGTGTTTTGCATTGTGTGACAGGGTCTGCCTGTCCTGTGCGCCTGTGGTCAGTCTGAAATCTGTCTTCAGCTCTTCTCCCATCACCCGGCCTTGTCCCTCCTCCTCATTCCCCAAACCACCAGCCTCCTTCCTGCCGCAGTGCCTTTGCACGGCAGCTCTTTCCACTGCAAAGTTGCTCTCAGGGCATCCTCTGTGCTGGCTCTGTCTTGTTCCAGATGTGGCTCCAATGCTGCCATTGCAGAGAGGACCCTAGAGCTTCCCACTGAAGCACCTGACTGCAGCTGCCCTCTGCTGTCTCCCTCGGACTTGCTGTCTCCATAGCACCGGCCCCTGCTCTCTGGTGCAGTGTGTAATGTGACAGCTCGCTCATGGCTGAGCATGTAGCAGCTACATAATAGATACTTGTGGAGTGAAAATGAGCCAGCCGTGCACTCGTGCCCACCGTGGGTGTGCACCTGTGTGCTGAAGGTCGGAAGAGGCCCGGCATTGGCACTGAGTGGTCCCGCACATCTGCAAGATGGTCCTTTTAAAAAACTGCCTCTGGGTACTTCTTTATCTAGCTCATCTGTGTGCCATCCAGAACAGCTAGCGGCTCTCCCTTTGCGCAGATGGGGAGGACGTGCTGCTAAGCCATTCGTCATTTGCTAAGTGTTCTTGCTTCCACAGCCCTTACCTGAGCCGGCCTGGGGCTGCTCCTGACGGCACCGCCGGGATGTCTGCAGGTTACTTCCCCCTGCTCGAAGCTGGGGGTGGAGAAGGCCCAGTTAAAATAAAGTGGACTCCGCAGGGCGCAGTACCCAGGGAGTCTTCCAGCGGCATGAAGCAACATGAAATGCAGAGACCAAGTCTGAACTGAGAAGGGAACAGGTAAGAACGCAAAGAGCTCACTGGAAGGATTTTTAGTGAGAAGACGGAGCGAGGGAGCGGGGTGGGGGGGGGCGCTGGAGTGGCAGGATTCAGCCTCAGCCCCTCCTGCGGCTTCCCAAACCCTCTCTCGCTCCCTCCGCCCCGAGGGCCCGGCAGAGCAGTGAGGTTTATGGGGTGGCAGTAGCCCAAGTTTTATTTTCTCACTTTCATCAAGATTGGGGAGATCGGTGTGTCCCCAGGTTGTTTCTTGATTCTGTATCCTCAGCTCACAGGACACATCCCGGCCCTGGCAGAAAGGTGAGCGGGGTGCCGGGGTCCCGAGATCGCGCCGGCAGGTGCTGCTCGGGGAGGCCATGTGCGCAGGCCCTGTGCGCTGCCTCCTTTGTTCGAAGTCTGCTCTGCGAGGGACAAAGCACAACCAACGCCGACCTAAATCTGGGCCCAAATTCTCAGACACAATAAATATTTGGGGACAAAAGTAGAATTCAGTCAAACACATGGGTAAACAATGATTCTTAAACTGCCAAATTGCCAGTTAACTCACTTCTTCCCTTGAAAAAGCCCCTTTGGGTCTCTGTGGACTGTTGGGTTGCGGGAACCGTTTTATGGGCATTTTATGATTTTATGGTGTTCTTAAAATGTTGATCTCCATCTCGTCGGGAACTGGAGGCAAAATTCACTGGCTCCTTTTCTGCCTCGCGGCCCCTTTTCCTGGAGATATCTTTAGCTTTCTGCTTTACTTTCCTTTTAATAAAATATTGAATATCATTTTCCCTAATTATTTCTCATTGAATGGACTCCCTAAGTCCCCCTTTTTCAAATAAAAAGAATAAAATGGACCATGTAATGGGACAAGGGTTCTATCACTACTGATAATTATACACTTTGTTTTCATTGTAATTGCCCTGGTTTGAACTGTGCTTATTTTAGCAGAAAGCGTTCATTATTTTATCAACAACTGGCAGACCTCGCTGGTATTTACTGACTTTTCTTTAACCAAAACAAGGATTATGGCTCCTATCCGCGGCTCAGCTGCTAAATCTTCGCTAAGAAATTTGGGAACCCCTTTTGAATGAAACCCAGTACAAAGCTTTAAGCACTCTTTGCAACTGAGTTGTATTAAATGATAGACAAAAAAAGCCCTCTGAAGAATTGGTGCTTAATTACAACTTAATTAGCATAATTATGCATGCTAATAGCATCTCAAATGAATAGCAGTTGTCAGGAGGTTGGGACCATCTGTAAGAATGTCGGATTAATACATCATTTTTTATTTCTAACAACGCTGTAACTCTTTCCCTGAAAGTGATTTTCATTAATCAAGTTCATTTTTATTATATAGAAAATTTGGCATTTTTCATTATGGGCCATTATCCGCTTCCCCGTGCAGCCCTAATACAATACTAATGAGCCCCCGTGTGGCCGGTCGGCGTTGACAGTGGAGGTACAGGTGTATTACTATAATTGTTACAAACAGCGCATCGCACCTCCAGAGTAGCGGAGTTCGAAACTCCTAGCACCCGCATTTCCACTTGGTACCTCCCTAGGGCCTAGTACAATTTTCAGAGCTTTATGAAAAACATACATGTTTGTGGTTACAAGGAAGCTATTTAAAGAGAAAGAGGCCCACGATCACCTGCAGCGGGGCTGCTGTTTTGCTGAGAATCCCTTTCGCGCAGACTGAAAGGGGAGGAGGTGTGGGTCCGCACCCGCGCCCCGGCTGGGGAGGAGGGAGGCGGGCGCCTCGCTCCCCCATGCAGGGATGCAGGGAGCATCACTCTTTGATAAACACGGTCATAAAACTGCGGGGGGGACGCGTGTCTTCATGCTGCTTGGTCCCAAGAAACCCCCCGAATGGCAGACTGCAAATTCACATCTGGATGCCCCCCTCCCCTCGCCAGCTTGCGGCAGCGGCCAGGCCAGAGGACACCAGGCAGGCAGTCCGCGCTCAGCTACCTTTACTGTCGGCTCTGCCTTGAGGTAGTCTTCAGGGTTTATTCCTGTCCCTCCTCCCCAGCCCCCCGATCTCACACAGCAATAGCCAAACGCCTCTGCTTTCCCCAGGCGAACCCCTGCATGCACTTGGCTGTTTTCGGAGGAGCCTCGTCTGTCCCTGTATTTTTTCCCCAGACTGAAGCTCAGGGCTGTACCCCAGACTCCTAGGGGAGGGCGGCGGGTCCTTAGGCTCCTCCACCCTCAACCCAGCCCCAGGGGGCATCAGCCCCGGCCCCATGCAGATGTAAATGAAATGGCTAGCCCCGCTGCGTCCCCTCCTTGGCTTTCCGACGGCAGCAGAGGCGAATCACTGACCTCACAAAGGAGCCCCCTCTTTAACGTCACAGCGGCGGGCTGCTCGGGGTCCCCTGGGGCCGGTTGGGGCTAGTCTCCCCTGAGCACCTGCAGGTGAGAAGGGGGCTGCGGGAGAATGGGGCTCACGGTTCAGCGGGCCAGAGAGGATGTGGACCACTCAGGACTGCCCCCAGGTGAAGTCTGGTGATCCTTGGAGCGGAGATGTGCGTGGGACGTGCACACGCTCAGGCGACGGGTGGTCATTTAACTGAAAATCAGAAACAACTGCTCTCTGTCTCTCTCTGTCTCTCTCCCTCTGCCTCTCTCCCTCTCTCTGTCTCTGTTTCTCTCTCTCTCTTAGTCTCTCTCCTAACTTGCTAAGTTTGGCCACATATAACCCAGCCTTACATCTTGCCCCTGCCTTTGTAAGCTGTGTGACTGTGGGTAGATTCCTAAGTCCCTCTATGTCTTTGTTATCCTGTAAAATAAGGACAGCCCTCCTTACTTTGGAAATGTTTTAATAATCGTCGGGCACCTGGAACAACACAGGCAAGAGGCACTCGTGAAGTGACAGTTGTTACTGTTGCCAGGCAGCAGGGGTCCAGTTCAAGACCTCCCTTCCGTGTCCAAGTGGGTTGCGTTTGTGACCGCTACTTGTTTGTGTTACCATAGTGTTAACACTGGATTTGCTTTTTTTTCCTTCTCTTTTCTCCTCTCCTCTCCCCTTCCCTCCCTCCCTCCCTTTCTTTGGTACTAGGGATTGAACCCAGGGCCTTGCCACTGAACTACATCCCCAGAGTTTTTAAACATTTTTTGAGTCAGGGTCTCCCTAAATTGCTAAATTGCTCAGATTGGGCTTGAACCTGTGATACTCCTGCCTCAGCCTCCAGAGTGCTGGGATTACAGGCTTGCTTCGCTTCAACTTAAACACTAGACATTTTTGAAGCCAAAGGCTTGCTGCTGTCCTCCGGGCTCGGGTATTTGGCCAGGCCTCAGGGACAGGTGCGGTGCGTGCAGCTTTCCTTCCTCCGGAGCTTGCAGGAGGCTGGCAGCGACAGGGGCAGCTCAGAGCAGCAGCTTGGAGCCCGTGCAGGCTTTAGGGCTCTGGGGTCCCCACCCACCAACCCCTGTCAGCAGGCTGTTCTCCTTAGCGGGAAAAGGTGGCGATTACAAAACACAGCGAACAATGTGGGACCTGGGCTCAGGAGTTGGCGGAAGACCGTTGTGAGCCCTTCTGCTACGATTTCGCATTTCCCTGGACCTGTGCATTGTGTTTTCAATAAAGGAAAGAAAATAGCCACAGAAGAAGCCTCCTGCGCATGTGGCAGAGTGGGAGCTGTCTTCTGGAGGGGGCAGGCTGGAGGCTGGGAGAGCGTGCGGATGGTGGGGTGCAGGACACCCCTCCCGCTGGAAGAGTCCTTCAGATTCCTTTGCATCGATCCTGTCCCTGGTGCATTCCTGTAGCTGGTAGAACCAGCCCCTTGCTGGTTTCCCTGTTTCACTTTGTCTCACGACACTAGAGAGCTTCCCCTGAATGGGACGTGCAGCTGCCTGTCTTGTTCCTGACACTAAAATGATCTGGGGCAGACGAAGACAATCTGAATGCCCTGAGAGGACGAAATCAAATTAGAACCAAGAAACAACTCTGTGTAAGATTCTACTTGGGAGGCCCAGGCAGGAGGGTTGCAAGTTGGATGCCAGCATGGGTGATGTAGCCAGACCCTATCTCAAAATAAAAAATAACAAAAGGGCCTGGGGACCTAGCTCAGCAGTAGAGAACCCCCGGTTCTGAGAAAAAAAATCCCTCCTTTGAAGAAAGGAGTGAATCGTAGGCAGCTTTTGGGGAATGCTCATCCTGTGTCCGCCCAAGAATGGATCAAGGGGATACTGGGCTCCTCAGGACTGCAGGGAGGAAACTGAACTCCAGCCGGGAGCCTTGGGCCCCTGTCCTGCTGGAGGCACTGTGTGGGACAGAGAGGACTTCTTTCCAGCCGGGTAGAGCAGCTCCTGACCCGCGCCGGGTACGACTTCTGGCCATGTCTCTGGATGACTTCTGGGCGTGAAGGTTAGGATACAGTAACAAGTCCTAGTGGAAGAGGTATAGCAGGGCGTCCGAGTTCCCTGGGGTTGCTTTGTGCCGGGGGCTGGGGACAGAACCCAGGATCACTCATGCTAGGCAAGGGCTCTACCTGGAGCTCCCCTGAGCCCAGGTCTGCTTTTCTTGGTTTTAGTTTACTCATTTAGGGCTTTAAATTTTCTTTTTACTGTGGACATTTGCAGTGTGCAGTGTTTGCATTCGTTTTAGGGAGCTGGTAGGTAGACATAATATTTCTTTTTGTTGTTGTTGTTGTTTTCTCTGGTACTGGGGATCGAACTCACGACCTTGCACTTGCCAGGCAGGCGTTGTGCCACTGAGCTAAATCCCCAGCCCCTGACACAGCATATCTTAATTGTTTTTGTCTGTCCCACCTTCCCTCTGCTCTGTCTCTAGACCCTCTTCCTGTTTGCAAAAGGTCTATCTCCCCGTTTCCTGTTCTCTTTTATTTTGTTGTTACACTTTTACACTTTGGATTTCTCCTGTAAGAGAAACCATGCAATATTTGCACTTGCATATGTGATTTACTTCACTTAACATTATGGACTCAAGGCGCATCCACCTTCCTACAAATCACTCAAATTTATCCTTCTTTATGGCAGAGTAGTACTCCACTGTGTGTAAGTACCACATCCTTTTTATCCATTCACCTGTTGGTAGACATATGGGCCTCTTCTAAGCTTGAGCTATTATGAGTTTTGTTGCAGTAAACATGGGTATGCATGTATCACATACATACGACACGATGTCTTTAACTCTTTCGGGAAGATACCGAGAAGGGGAATAGCTAGGTGGAATGGAATTTCTCGTTTCAGGTTTTTGAGGAGTCTGCATACTGAGCTCTACCATGGTAGTTCTGTGTACACCCCACCCACTCCCCGCAGCATGGCCGGCGTTCGTTATTATTCCGTATCTTGTTGGTGGCCATTCTTTCTGACGTGAGATGGGTCTTACTATTGATTTACTTTGCGTTTCCCAAATGGCCAGTGATGCTGAGCATTTTCTCACGTAGTTATCGGCCCTGCGCACAGATCTGCGTTTGTTATTTCTGCTTCCTGCAGTGTTCGGTCCGCGGGGACAGCTTGCTCCCGAGCCCGAGCCGGCCGAGCCCTTGCGCCCACGCCCGCTCCGGGCCTGCTGTGGTGCTGGCGAGAGCCCGGCCCGCCTTGGGGTGTTTCTTACCCTCCTCCCCAGAGTGGCCCCGAGTCTCGTTACCGAGGGCTCGCGGGGCCAGCTCCTCCACTCCAGAGGGCAAAGTTCGCTTGCTGGAACTTGCCCGCGGACAACACTGCTTTATACAAAAGGAAAGGAAGGCAGAGGTTCTCCGCGGCGCCCGGCGAGGGCGGGCAGGCGGTGGAGGCGGCGCTGTTCTCTGGGATCCCCGTAGAGCAATCAAATCTTTGCATGCCGCAGCGTGTTACAGCCTGCAAATTAATATTAGATCTGATTCTGAAATAAGCCTAATGAGGATGACTTTTAGAGGGGGGCGTTGTGTTTTTTGCTGCATTTCGCAAAACCCTTTCTCTGCTTGACACATGAAGTTAAAAATACGACTTCTGCCCTTCAGCTTGCTGGTGGCTTCGCATCCGGCAGCCAGGGGCCACAGGCAGGGCCCGCGTCTGTGCTCTCAGAGTCCTTGCTTCGGAAACTCTGGGGCGGTTCCGGCGCGGACGTGCATGTGTCCCAGAGACCTCCGGCCTGTGGGCGATGGGGGTTGGGGGCAGCGCTGTCTTCCAGGGGGTGTCCTCGGAGCTGACCCCGGACGCTGTGGGCTGCCCCCCTTGCACGCACACATCTTCCACGAGCCGCTTGTTCTTCCTCAGCCTCTCCGCTGCAGTATCACCGCCCACGGATTCTATATCTCATCCAGTCATACAGTGGAGTCAGCTGCAAGGGCCAGAACTGGGGAGTGGGTTAACTAAGAGATCCTGCTTCAAGATCTGGCCTGACCCTCAATTCCCACACATGATTTTCTCTCTGCTTGGAGTGCTATGCCCCGCTCTTCTTTTATCAAGTAACAAACTCCTACCCATCTCACAAAACCCTGGTGAAATAACCCATTCTTTGTTTTTCCCTTTTTCTTTCTAGAGATTGACTTCTAACCCTGGGCTCTCAAGACATTTGGACACCCCTCTATTAAAATGATATCTGCTGATTTCTAAATGCGCATGCATGATGCCCAGACCTGTGGCATCTGGTAGGATAGGCAGTAGCCACCTGTGGTTAGGTCACTAGGCATTTAAACTGGTTCAGATTAGACACAGAGTAAATTCAGGTCCTCTGTCCCCCAGCAACATTTCAAGTGCACAGCGGCTGGTGCCCACTTACTGGGCAACACAAGCGACCACTTCCCACCCCCGGGGGGTGGGGCATTCTGTGGAGCTGTGCTGGCCCAGAGAACCGGCTCTTTCTGGCTTACACTCCTGTGCTTCACCCCCAGTGAACTCTCCTCTGACTGAGAGCAGCAGGCGTTTGACCCGTTCTCCTCCACACGGCCTTCCCACTCTCTTCCAAACCCTGAATGTCTGTGACTGGGACTGAAGGTGATGTGGTAGGTGGAATGCTGTCCACACTGTTCCTTCCCAGCTAGGGGCGGATACACCTGCTAGGAAGTTCTTGGGAGTTCTGATTGCTCAGTACTGCCTAGTCACAATGCCCCTTTGTTCTTTTTAGCAAACTGTAAGGCATTTCCTTTTCTTCTCATCACTGCTGAAATAGTGGGAACTGCAGCAACCATTTTGTGGCATGAGGTGATAAATGAAAACACTTGCAAAAGACGGCAGATAACAGAAAGGTGGCATGTACTATGACGGCACCTTTATATCAGCCCTGGGCCGCACATGTCCTCAGATTTCTCCTTGTATATAGCCAGAGTACATGCCTGTTTTTAAAAATATTAGTAGCTGAGTTTCACTTGCCTTGCAGCCAGAGGCAGTTCTGACACACAGATGGAATGAGGGGAGCCCCAGGCCTTCCTGACCTAAAGATGAGGAGGATTTTTCTTTTTCTTTTTTTTTTTTTTTTGTCTTTTTGAGACAGGGTTTTGCTATGCAGTTCAGGCTGGCCTTGAGCTCACTTTGTAGCTCAGGCTGGTCTCAA